CAGTTTAGTTTGTCGATTACAAGATAATTCGACCATTTCATTGCCGTGTTTATTAGAAAGCATGTAAATTTCTTTTGTCTTTCCAGTTCGTAATGGTCACTCCATTATCATATTCCATGGAAGCAATCTGCTCTTTATTTAATTTTTCAGCTACTACTTCTTGGTGTAAATATTTTCGATTTTTTCGAATAGTTCCTATCAGGTGTGTATCGACGGACAACATTTTTTTGCTAGCGGTAGACTTGTATACCAATTGTCGGTTATCAGCGTTCTTCCTTGATGTACCAAATCCTCCATAAAATACAGTACAACATTAAAATTTTTACACCATATTTGTGTCTTTTTGACTTAATGTACTGTTTAAACTCCAAACGTCCCCTAAAGGGTAATAGGGTTTCATCGATTCAGACATATAAGCAATAAGACTTATTGCTATAAATGTATACAAATGCTACGATAATTTTCAACATTGTCTTTCTGACCATTTTTAAATATAGGAACAACATAACTTTCTTTCCATGAAGAAGGAAACCCAGAGATCTATTAAACAATATAACAAATGCTATTACAAGGGTACAGACACACTTTTTTAATAAAAAATTAGGCACACCATCTGGACCAGCAGTAAGCTTATTGCTTATTTATGCCATTAAAAATATCAGTCATGGTAATCTTAGAAGGACAAATATTTGTACTAAAGTTGGTATTTATTGGATGGATAGGTATGTAAAGGTTGTTGATATTTGGTGAATACACAGTTTGGAAGAAGTTCATAAATAAATTAGCTATGATAAAATGAAAGGCAGATATCGAGCAGTTTTATTAATTAAATCTTGCCCAAGTACTTTCGCTTCCTAGAGCATCTTCAGGGGCATCTGAAATAAGCCAAGAAACGTTTTTTTTTTAATGAAGAAATTGATTAACTTCGATAAAAAACTCGACGTTAATGGATGATAAAAGTTTTTTTGTGATTAGGTTTTAGACTTACTTCGTTTATGACATTCTGCGATTGTTGGTAAAAAAACTTTTATCATCCATTAACTTATCTAGTTAATGGGTAACTTATCTCCAGGAAGCGAAAGTACTTGGGCAAGATTTAATTAATAAAACTGTGCTCGATATCTGCCTTTCATTTTATCAAAGTTCATTTATTCGAGCATTCAACCTTATATAAATTAACTATGTCTTGACTATTTTTTGCAGATTGGACTCGATAAAATAGTTAAAATAGAGTTAGGGAGGTTATGACTAGACCGCTTATCTATTGATATGTACTTCCAAAATAATTTTGGATCATTTCTTAGGCCAGTATCTATACCTTTAATATAGTTGCTGAAGCAAATTTCAGACAGTTGTTTACATTCAGCTCTTAGGTGGGAAAATCTAATATAGTCATCATCAGTACGATTATTAACATAAATATAGTGAGCATATTTTTTCTCTAGAGTCAGTCTTCTAAGATTAACAGAGAACCACGTGGGAAAAGTTAAAGTTCTATATTTCTTCAATGGCACAAAGTAAGCAATTCCTATAGAGAGAACTTCATAGAATAATTTTGTAGCAACCTCAACATCATTAACCATACATACCTGCCAGTCTATGGAAGCAAGGAAGTTGTTAAGCGCAATGTAATCACCATTCCGAAAATCATAAAACAACTCATCATAAACCAACTTATTTCTATTTGTTTCTTTAACATCAAGGTTTAAGCAACATTCATAACCCACATGATGGATGCTAGGATCTACAAGGGGATCACTTGCTTTTAAGATATTTAGCTCCCTAACATTAGAAAAAACTAAATCCAAAAATACATTACGATTATTGGGAATATTATTATGTTAATACAATTTTAAAAAACCAAAGGCTTGAGCAATATTCACAGCTGGATCACCTGCAGGACAATGCACCATTACACCAAACTCATCATTCTCCCATTATGCATTGGGAAGATTGTAATCACCAAAAACATAGATATCCTGTGCTGAGTATTGCAGAACAACATTTTCCACAGTTTGACAATGCCGGTTGTATACTTCACAAGGTGATTGTGGAGGTATGTAAACACCACCGACCACAAACTTGACTTCATTAAGTTGACATAAGATATATATTTGCTCAACCCGATCTTCACGAATACTAATGGTTTGTGATTTTAGCTTGTTGTTAACAAACACTAGTACACCACCGCCACTCAACTTTGCACTGGTTCTCTGGGATCTATCACATCTGTAGATACTAAAACCATCACATTTAATTTCACAATCAGTTATGTTATCATTCAAGTTACTCTCCGCTAAAATAATTATATTGTACATCAGCAGGAAATACTTTTCAGAATACCTCCAACATTTTGATAAAAAAACTGTTAATGGGCTTGTATAACTGTGGATACTTATTGATGACAGCTTGAGAAGAGAAAGTCATTTGTACCTCCAACGTTGCCATTGGATTAGATCTAGTCATATTCGCTGCTAGGTGTCTACTACCGAATTCTGAGATAGTTATTTCTTTGAAAAATTAATACGGTTTAAGTTCAAGGTCTTATGCAGATATCTATATACCATTTTCGTTGATTGGTTCAAAGAACTTACAATTTTTCTTTCAAAACCTTGGCCTACAAAAGAAAAACGAAAATTTTGGAAAAGTGGCAATTTATTACTAAACATTTAGCTCGATCACTTTACCTAGCGATGCTCAAACTTCTTTAACCGGTCTGAAAAATACGTTTTCTCGAGGTCTTCAAAATAGGTATCTAGCCGTGGCGACGATGACTCATCCATACTCTACATATATTTCTGTCCGGCGAATGGTTTTTTCAAGAAACAAAAATAAGTCTGTAGAATATGGTGAATGGAGCAGCAGTTTGGAACCCAATTCGATGAATTTGGCCGTAGCGATATTGTAGCCGGTGCATTGTCATGGAAAGAGCACTTTTTTCTTCGACAAAAAGGGGCTGTTTTTTTTCTGCAATTATGCGTCGAATCTTTCCCAGGTAGTCGATGTATATCATAGTTCTTGTATCCCAGAAAACTTTGGCCATAAGCTTTTCGGTCGATAGGACAGTCCATGACAAAAACTGCTCTGAAGTAATCTCACAGTTGCGCTTGTTGTCCGGGGTAAGCAAACGCGGGCATCTATTGCGCTGTCTACCTTCAATCGGCGGTCTGCCAATACAAGATCGTGGATTTTTGTCACTTTATCATACGGGATAGTCGGTTTCTAGACACCCCGGCGTAGTTCACCAAAAACCGACGTGCGACAATGTTAAACTTGTTACGCCAATTTTTGACGGTCGCCATCGAAGTAGAAGCGTCCACCGTACACGGTGTACAAGCGCTCTTTCAATTTCGCTCCGCGATTTCTTTTCCAAAAACAAGAATTGAATCACTGATCAATGTTGCTCTTTTTCCATTTTTCTAAAATCCGCGGTCTACAAGTCCTAAATCTAAATTTTGATATTAGCTGTTTATTATAGGAGAATGTACTATACAATATTAAATTTCTCGTGCGATGGTGGCGCCATCTTACGGTGAATCTATGTACTTATCAGACGTCTTACATAAAAAATCAAAAAACAAAATATAAATTAAGATTTATTGAACAGTTTTGATAAATTGTTTGTTATAATTTAATAAAAATTTTTGGTTACATTACAGAATACCAAACCTAAAAAATAGTAGCTACTTAGCATACTTAATTGCTTATTGGCCATGAATGACAAGACTGTATTGAAAAAGTTAGGAACTATTATCATCAATAACTTTTACTCCAATAATTATTAGTTGAAGTTTCGTAAGACTGATTGGCGTATTATATTCCAAAGCTAGAATTGTTTATGTATTTTCACCATCCAGCAAAAAGACAGAAGAGGGAATGTAAAGGTAGTTGGGGCAAAAATATTGTTAGACGGGAAGTGCTATTTTGAGAGGTGACATTAAACAAGGAAAGAGAGTCACTTTCCTTGTTTAATAAATCAAATTTAGTTGGGTTATGTTATTGTTTGTCCCAACTGCCACATGAAAGCTTATTTATTTTCTATTATATTATTTATCTATGTTATTTATATTGAAGTTTTTTAACAATTGTGTCACATTTTAGACTATTTTAAGGCTACTTTAAATTTGGCGCGTTTGCATTCCCGGATATGTCCTCCATATTAAGATGCCACTTTTATGAATTTTGGTCTCCTTTTCATAACGATTAGATTCTCTCTTTTGTCTTTTTGTTCCATGATTTTCACACATCTTAATTTTTAATTGTACATTTATTAAACGATATGTTCATATGTTTATTTACCGAGTGGATTAACTTTAGACTTAAGTTTAATATCCTGGAGTCTTCCTGTAGGACATAAAAGACCCCGCTGTCATTTATGTCCTACAAAATGCATCTCAGTCCAGTAAAATCACACTAATTGGGGAATTCTATACATTTATTAGTTTTTTTTCCTGAATTATAATATATTTTAAATACAAATATATTTAGAGTTAACCAGAGCCAGTTACTTTCTAGTTGTGTCAATCCTCTGTAATTTTGATGCACATGATGCAAAAAATTTTTGGGAAAAAACATAGTGTATTTACTCTTTTGCATAAGTACCTTTAAATAATTAAGGAAACTCTGCCATGTGTCATTCACTTAAGTCTGTTGCAAGTGCTTTATAAGTTCATACAATATACTATTACATTTCTGAAACGAACTCTACAAATAATTTCTTCTACAACAATTTCATAATTAAATGAGCAATACTGAAAAGTCTTGCAAATATATCCAAAGTGTGTGTAGATGTATTTACATGACTTTTAATATACTTATAAGTCTGGTATTCTGCTTCTGCATGATTTGCACTATTATATAGTTCTTATTCTGTTGAATGTGCTCCATAAAATGCTTACTTTATAAAATGAAAAATTATAACAAATCAACAGCAGAATAAAGTAAAAAAAAATTAAAAACATTTAACTAAGATATAATGTAAGGAATAACATCATATTTTGTCATTTATTTTGTGAAAAATTGACAGAATACCCTCCCGAATTTGGATCTTGATTTAACTGGAAGTTTTCAGTGGATAGTCCAAATGGCTTCAAGATCATATTACCCAAGTCTTTCAGTTTTCCTAAAAAAAAACATATTAATACACCTTGGTTAGAATACAATAATAAATTCAGTTAGAATAAAATAACTACATACACATTACTAAAAACAATAAGTTGCACTTGATTCCATAATAATAAACAAAATATAAAATAATTAATTTTGTCCATAACTTTTTATCGTTAATAAAAATTTCATCAGTATGGACTGGTTAATCCAATCTAAAATATGGACTGATTTCCAAGGATCCACATGTAGTACTGACTCAAAACATGATCAAGGAATCATACTTTCCTATCCTATCTATAACCTGATTATACAAGATAAAGATTTTTTCATACACAAAATAGCAAACAACAACCTGGATGTGAAAATGTGGAAGACATTAATAAATTTTGATACCTGGGAATCACAGTTAGCAAGGGAAATATTTAACATTATAAATAAGATACTAGTATCAACAGCAATAAAGATTAAGGTTTTAAAAGATGCTAAAGATGTTAAAATCAATTGTATTGTCATATTGTAATATTTTTTATATTATAGGCTAAATCTTCAAAAAATTGAATAGTAGTATTACAAGTTGATTAGCTCATTGGTTCATAGAGTGTACTAGAATTGGATATATCATATAAAAATAGCTTATCAATAATTTTGAACAAGAGTAATTGCTGACAATTTTAAGCAGATTGGAGTTTTCACTTTGGGACAGACAATGAGAATACAAACCAAGATTATTCAACTTATATTGTCATCTCTAATTGAACATGACTGCATTCTGGGATCAAGCCAACAAATGTGAAGAAACATTATTTTAATAGTCTTCTAATTTTTTCATGATCGAAAAACTTAAGGATGAAGGACAAATATAAAGGTAGCATGAAGGTGACTTATCAGTAGGCATATGAATGGTGCAGTGCCAATTTGAAGTACAACTCTTGATATATCATTTCTCAAAGAAGTTGCTGAAACTACTCTACAGAAAATTGAAGAATTTTATATACTGAGAAGTATATAAAAGTCTTCACTAAAGTATACACTTCCTCTGCCTGGTTGTCCTAGCGGCTCTCTTTGGTCAAAAACTTTTCTGACTGTTGCATATAAAACTAAAGTAATAAACTAACTGTTAATGTTGTTCTGAAGCTATTTTCTTCTGGCATTTTAAAGGAATTACTATTTAAATGGGAATAAGCCACAACTAAAGGTTAAAGTATGTTTATTGACGTTTCAATTTCCAGTTCGGAAATCATTCTCAAAATACAAACATTAGTAAATTAAACAAATTTTGTTTTTTAATTACTTCGTGAAAAAAATTCTTCTAATGATTTAATTTTATCTGACTCATTTACATAGACAACTTTAAAATGATATTGCCAATATTGTTGAGTTGCGTTCCTGGGTCGACTTTACTTGTAAGATAGTTCATTTGATTACATGAAATCAACTTTAACTTGAGAATATCCGTTAGAAAAAAAATCATATTAAGTAATTCGTCTTAAAAAACTCTCCTGTTAGTGATTCCATAGTAAATTATGAGGGAAAAACCAGGAAAAACCCTCATAATACTATCCCGATGTGGTAAGTATTTGGTAGTGTATTTAGTTTACTCTCAATAAACACCAAATTCTGATTTTATATGTTTGTTATTTAAAAAACATAAATGATGTATCCTCTATATGTTACTGACTTACTAATACTGGTATTTTCCTTTTAATAACTTCCTCTTTTAATGTGGGTAATTGATATTGGTGTCATTTAGCATAATTAGAGCTGCTTCTTTGATTTTTCTCTTTTTACCATCCATTTCTTTTAGGACTATATTTGAATCATTCCATTGAACCCTATGTTCATTATCCCATGCATGTTTACATTTTGAGAACAATTTCCGAAGTGGAAATTGAAACATCAATAAACATACTTTAACCTTTAATTAGAATGTCTCAATTTGTGTTTCTTAATTTAAATAAAGGAACTCAAAAATTGCAAATATTTGTCAAGATTGGTTATTTTGCTGTCCTGGAAGTATAATGACACAATTGTAAAATTTTGAAACATGACGTTATGGTAATGGAGGGATCAAAACTGCATTTTCTATATATTTGTAAATCGTTATAATTGTACTTATGAAACCCTCTGAAGTCATGGCCAAAGTCGTAAGTACAATTATGACGATTTACAAATATGTAGAAAATACAGTTTTGATCCCTCCAATACAATAGTGTTATTTTTAAAATAATTTACAGTTGGGTCAATATACTTTTGGAATAGTGAATGTTCATCACACTTTTCACAAGTGCCTATTTGGCACTTTTCCCAAGGTCACAGGCAATATTGGAATGGGTCACTGGAATTTGTTAAAGACATGAGAAAAAAGATTTTCCGGAATGAATCTCACAAAATTTTGGACAGAATTAAATATCTGGAAAGCCTATTCTGAATAATGAAGCTGAAAAGGCTCTGCTACCATTTCCACTTACTTATTGGTGTGAAGCAGGATTTTGGTGCTTTCCTATTAAAAATGCAAGTACAGAAATAGACTGGAACCTCAGCATCACATGCTGTGTTAATTTAAATCCCTCCAGTGGTCCAAAAATATAAGATTAAAACTGGTATGTGTACATATAAGTACATCTTATCAAAATACAACACAGTATTTTAAATTATTAATTTAAACATTAATCTGAAGCATGAATTAAACAATTATAAGTTGCTGATAATATGATTGTCTAAACATGAATATTCTACCAGATAATATATACAATAACAAATGATTAAAAAATTATAGTGCATTTAAATCAAAGATTATTACCTAACATTTCAGTTTTAAGCTTTTCATTTCGCTCTGCTATTAAGGGTGGTAACCTATATTGGGCTTGTAAAGCATCTTTATTATTCTTATCTAGTTCTAAAACTTTTTTATAATCAGCTAGACTTTCATCTAATTTTTCTGTTTCTTCATAAAGTTTGGCTCTTCTTAAGTACGCTCTAATATATGAATCATTAAACTCTATGGCTTTGGTACAATCTTCTATAGCACTTTCTTTTCGAATAAGTGAAATTTTTGAAGCAGCTCTATTTGCATACAAGATAGATCTATCATTTTCATATTTTAAGGGGCACATTCTTAATGCCTCAGTGTAACTACATAATGATTCTAAATGCAAACCTGATTTAAACTGTTCATTTCCTTTATTTTTTAATTCTAATGCTAGTTTGTGTCTTTCTGCTTTTTCCTCCTCAGATAAATCATTTTCTAATTTCTTTAGCTCTTCTTCGTCTATATAATCGTCTGGATTTTTAATAGTATCTGTATCAGATTCTTCCTCATCGAAATCTTTTGGAATACCTTCATTATGGTGACTATTCAATATTTCTTCTGGATTAGATTCAGTTACTTTTAATTCCGTTTGTAAATCAGTAGTGATTTCATTTACAATATCTTCGTTTGTTGGTATACTAACACTTTCTTTTTCCGTCATAATTTAGTAAAAATATTATTAAGTGAAACAATTTTTTAAAACACTCATTAGATTCAAAATACAGAAGACAGGCAATGATTGTGACAATGACAATTTGGCGAATGACATCATTCTTCTTTCTTGTTTTTGACCTTTATCGTAATTCAACATTTGATTAACCATCAACTCATTTTTTATTAAATGCTTTAACCGAGTCTATTTCTTAAAATATAACATTTACACTGCATGAAATCGTATTAAATAAAAAAATGTCAAAAAACTGTATAAATTGGGGAAACTTGTTTAATTTTGATGGTTATACATTTGGTAATCCTGGCACCATGCAAGAGCAAATGGATGCGAATGACCAATGTATTTGACATGCACATCTACTGGAGACATATTTCAGAACTGTCTTCTATAAATTCTACCAGCATTTTCTGCTTCGATATTTATCGTTAAAATTCATGTTGCCAACATAACAACTTATATTAGATTACAGATAAAACATAACCTTATCTATCTTTATTTACGTCCCCTTAACCCACATGTGTATTGTTGTGTTTTGATGTAAATTAAGTCTATTAAGTGGTGATAAATAGAATACTATCTTCTAAAGTTAAATGTCAAACGACTGGGTGATTCTGTTGACTATGGATGATTGTTGCTACAACGCAATAATTCAACAATAACAATTTTCTTTTCTTTGTTGACAATCTTCACCCTTTTAATAACCATAATAGTGTATGATTTATTAACATATTATTTATTTTAGTATTAATTATATTTTTTTTTAAAATAAAATAACCTCAAATTGTAAATATTTATCTTGTTGGCACAACATGAAAGTGGGATCTAAAATTGCATCAGAAATATCTCTGACCTGAAGTAAAAAGGTCAAGCTAGGCAAGATAAGTGCCATGCAAGACGGACTTGCATAGCCTGAGACTTGCATAGCCTAGATGTAATGAAAGCTCCTTTATACTTGGTTATAAATTTGGTTAACGGTATCAAGGTTAGTACTCACGCCTGAATTGTATAAGAAATGATACGAGACCAATTATTTGACATCTTCTAAACATATTTTATAACCTAACCTGTACCTACCAAATTAAAACATTTTCAATATTCTTCTTGCTTCTTATTTATCCAATGAAATTAAACTTCCAATGATGTCATTGCTTATCTCTGTTCCTATTCTATTCTATTATATTTAAATTTAGTTATCTATCAGTTATACATTTCTATATCTTTAAAAATACAAATGTGTTTATGTTGTTAATGAGCACATTTATGTCCATTTTTAGAGCAGATATTTGCAAAAAAAAACTAAAAACGGTAATGTAATAAAATTATTATTTAAAGTTAAAAAAAAATGATAATTTAAAAAAACTATATATTTATTCTAACGAAATAATTTTAAGTGGAATTTTAAAAATTATCCCTGCTAAAATAATATGAAGTTTTACCCAAAATATTTTTTTATTACAACTGGTCGATATAGGTAGTAATAATTTTGAAATATTTAAGTGTAAATATTTTTCGCCCACTTTACTGAATTGTTTAATAGTATTTAAATACATGTTTATAAATTATTTGTAACCAATATTAAAATATAATATGAAATAATAAAATTAAAATGTGAAATATTGTGCAACATAATTAAAGAAGTTTATGTAATTAATATTTATTTGCGTTAGTTATTCGGGTATATTTTTAAGGATTTATTTCAAATTTTTTTTTACCTATGTATCTTTTCTCTAACATTTATGTTGTAATAATGTTTCTTGATTATGAGTTACCACATCGCATTATATGAATCCTGTATATGATGGAAATTTTGGTGATTGTCTACATAAATGCAATTAATATGTATAACTTATAGTTGTATGTTTAGTTTATATAACTTAGTTAATAGTTTACCTATGTGTGAAAATGGGGCTTTTTAAAAATAATGTATTGAAAAACCAACACATTTATGTATAACTATGATGAATAATTGTAATCTTATCATATAGGAAGGCAGGAAATAACTGTTTAATAACAGATCTTCTTCAAATTTTTTACACCTTTTAAATTGAGGTTTAACTGGGCCATCTGGCCATACATGTTTTCCCACTGTGACCTGAAAGATCTTTTGTGTATATTCTAAAAATATATGGTTGTGTCTTTTGGATAGTCCTCAGTGCCTACTATCGAGTCTCTTTTGGAGACCTAGCTCTCTTGATGCAACTTTTTCAGTCCTTGCTAAGCTTTATTGTGGTTTCCCAAACACTGGTCAGTAGTTCAGAAACACATTCATGTTGGGTATTTACCTGATGTGGAGTTGCTTCATAGAATTAGCATCACATTTCACAAGTGTGAATACATTAGGTCTTATAGCTCTTGGAAGCTTTTACATAACATACAATAATAATTAAAATTGAAGATGCTATCTGGTGTATTTAGTTTACCTTTCTAAGTATCATCTCTTCACCTTCAAAATTTGATAAATATATTTTTCAAGAACATTTAGTGGGTACAAAATTTAATACTTTTGATGAAATCCGGAAAGGCCATCTACATATAATACTAATAGATTGATTGCTGCTGCAATAGTTTATTGACAAACTCCCTTAGTGTGACAAAGAAAACTAACGCAAAGCAGTCCATGCTCTCTTTCTAATTTATTGGTTTATCAACCATGTGACCTAAGTGACCAATGAGAAGGTCACATGGTCTATAAACCCGGCACAATCTGCACAATGGGAGTCAATCTGCACAATCATTACATATGCAATGCTGTAGGTAAAAGAGAGCAGAAAGAGAAAAATAATTAGGTATATGGTGCATCATTTGCTCTATATAAACATTTGACCTGTAATAGGAGTATAGTAAATGAAGGATTGTATCAATATTTTAATGAAAATATATATTTTTATTTTCATATATGTATAAAAGGAGTTGAATGCAAAAAATTTTTTTTACACATACTCTGCAGTAAAATTTGCTAGTCCTAATGTTCAAGCAGGTGTTTAACATGTGTTGCTTAAAATTAACTTTTCAGAAGATCATGACAGGGGGTAACAGCAGGGAGTAACAAACAGGGGATTGCAGTTCCTGAAACATTAGGGAAAAAGTTAAGTATTGTAGGAAGTCATACTTTGATAAAATTTACAAATGCAGTTGAATTTAGAATGCAGCACGTTATAACCAATATACCTCGTTCGCGGCTTGTAATTTTATTGATTTAGTTTTACTCCCCTTGGTGCAAAAATATTTGATGACTTCTGTACAGTTGCGGTTGTACAAATCCATCAAAACGCTTTAAAACTTCCTCTAAATTTCGGAAAAAAAATACATCCACATTATAACGATTAAATGATGCAGCCCTGGATAAGCTGCAACTTTCCGGTTGGCGGATAGTGAGTTTGGGATGTCTTTTTCTGAAACCGTGAAGTGTATGAATTATTTTGTTATACAGAGTTCGTAAGCCAGTTGCCTCACGTCTTTTGTAGACTTTCCGTAACATATGATGCTGCATTGAATTATGTAATTTTTAACCAATATTTCTTGTTGATCATTTAATGCTCTTCGAGTACCGTAGTGGGGTCTATACAATATTACGTCGTTCGAAGCTTCTTTAGCTTTCTTTATGTATTACGCTGTAGCATTTTCAATTTCATTGATTCTTTGGTATATATTGAAATCCCCTCGTATATGTAATATATTGAAATCCCCTCATATATGTGAGAAATCGAAGAGTATTTTTAATGTGTTTTAATTTCCGATTCGTACGTATTAAAACACCGAATTCTTTCAATTCATTTTAGCGTTGCCAAGTAATAAAAACCATTTTAGAGTTGTTTATTATTTTAAAGATGTGTACTTTCTCGGCATTTTCTTTTAATGTTTTATTCGAAGTCGCCTTATAATTTTTGTACGTCGTAGAAATGGAATCCTCTGCGTTTTAATTCCTGTCAAGTGTTTGTTATTTCAAGTTATGTGAACGAATTTTTAAGATGATTTCGTCATTCTTACTTGGGTCTTTGTAGACTCAATTATGGATCCAAGTTCATCCGTCGAATTTGTAGTTTTCTGTTTTTGGCCACTTTTTTGTGGAAATATGTAGCGGTGAAGAGTGGTTTTGTGGCGGTTGATAGCTGCAGTTAAGGGGAGGTTTGAAATGTAGGCGATAATGAGCAGATGTATTTGGTTAGTCGGAGCTACGATGGTTCCAGTTTTTTAAGAAGCCGAGTCAAAGGTGTGTTCCAGTACCCCAACTTTCAACCTTGGATTTGTATTCGTCCTAATTAAGAAGTCCAGTTTACATCTTAATGAGTGATTGTGACATCCAGGTAACTTTTATTGTTTGTTTAATTTTCAAGTAAAGACATTTTTTTAGAAAAATAATTGCTTTCGCAACAATTTAAATTTTTGTTTTGTATTGTGGTAATATTTTTTTATTGTCTTTTTTAAGTATTCGTGTATTCTCTATGTTTTGTAACTGTTTGTGGTAAGACATCAATAAATGTTAAATTTTGTTTTCTTAACATTTTGTTTATTTTTTTAACTAACCCTTTTTTGAGTTTTATTTGAAAAAGATATGTTTTTTATGTTTAATAATTATTTCCCTAGTTACAACTAGTGGTTGTAGTAGGTATAATTAGGCACCTCAAAGTGGCGCCCTATATTAAATTACTAGAGGTGTTTCCTGTTTCTATGTTTATTTATCCCAAGAAGTTCATGACTCCTTATTTCATTATTTTTGTAATTGCCCCAACCCACCCCCTTATCTTTTACTTATCCACGACCCCAGCTCTCCTAACAAACCCTGAGTGCCGTTCGCACAAGTAGCATTTATTTTGCTTGCCCTATCTTTACCCCCATAATCTTACCCTGAGGTAGGCAAAATATTTCGTTACAACGCTAATGTATTTGATGTTTAAGGACATTTCTCTCGGATTCTATTTTTAAACTAAATTTATGTTTTAATACATTATCTACAGCAGTTTTCATCTTGAAAAACGTCCCATGGTGGC